CCCCAACCCTGGTGTGGCTTTCAAAATCTGGCCCCATGATCCCCGTTGATATTAAGTCAGACCTTAAAGTTTAAAACTCGGTGTCTGGGTATACTATCGTCTGATCTGTTATCACAGCTTGGACAATCTTATGATGGAAAATTAAACTTTTTTGAACCGTCCCCCCTCTTTCGTAGGATTCAAAAGGGTCTTTGCACTCTTGTTCATGCAGTTATTTTCTTGCTGGCGCACCATGTGTTCTGTGCGAAGTACCTGTACGAGGTGCGCCCTCTTCTTCTCCAAACGCCGCAATGCTTCAATATTGGGCGCAATAATAATACTACAGCTAGTACTATTTCAGCTAGCTTACTACTTTTACAGCAGGGTAATTTTCCCTTTTGCGTTGTTACTCGCGCTAGTCTTCACAGGCCGAACTTACAGTTATGCAAGCACAGCTGGACTTGAAATTGTTTCAACCCGTTCGCAAGGAGTCGGACTATGTGGTGGTTGGTAACCGCTCCCAACAACAACAACAACAGCAACCTCAACAGCAGCAACAGCAGTCACACCTGTTACATTCCCCATCCCGTTATTTCTGTGGTCTACCTGTCCCAAAGGGTGTCGAAGGTGTGTTCTTACGTTCCTACTTTTAAACTTGTACGTTATTTCTCAATTTTGGACATTTTAATTTTTTAAATGCATCTTCTAAACGACGTTCACAGTTAAACTACGTATTCAGGTCAATCTATATCAATCAACACGTAAATCCACACATTCACACAGCCAGAGTTTGCCCATTCTGTAGTTGCTTCCAAGTACCCATTTGATTAGGCTCTGACAGCGCTAGAACGGAAGACATATCTTTATTCGCTGTGTCTAAAAGTTCTCGCGCTTATCGACTGACTACATCAAGGACAGTTGGTTGGCTTTGTCGTGCATTGCCTTATCCTTTAGATTAGTCCTAAGTACTGATAGACAGTGGGTTACCTTGGCCAGTGTCCTTCTAATTCCTTTATAAAAGCTGCGGCCCCAGCTTTTCGTTTTTCCATATATTTCCCTGTCACTCCCTTAAACGATTCTCGTCTCGTCGCGTATACTGCTTTCTTCATCATTTGCTGTTAAAGTCAGTGGATCACTAAGTTTGTGCTTGTTCGCTTAAAATTAACAATTTAATGTTAAAGAAGATGCCCAACTCCGACTGGTCGCTGCCTTCGTGTAGCTTTTATTCTGCCCATCATCATTATTGCCCACAGTGGCGCCGAAAATCTCACTTTACACGTCGGCATAGTTGTAGTCACCGCCGCCGATTGTTGGTTTCGACAATGTCCACGGCGTGCCTTACGGCATGCCGGAAACAAGCACTATACCCAGCATGTAAATGAGACTATGGTGATAGTAGACTTGCGCTGTGTCTACCGCACTCATCTCCTTCTACCTTATCAGGACAGACACCTGAAAACGGGACGTAGGAAGACGCGCCGATGGCTGCCCTGGTGAAAATCCACACTACGCATACTCGCTGGTTCAAAACAAACACTTAGTTAGGGTTTTGACAAAACATCAAGGGGATAGGAGCCCTGGCGCCACCTTAACTTTACTAGGTTCTTTTTATAACAAGAAGATGATAAGGACAGTGGCGTGGATCCCAGTTC